TAGAATTTTGAGTTTTAAATGTTCCAGTGACACATAGGCCTATATTATATAAAAGACTAATGTGTGCAATATTTTTGTATGATGGTTAATGATTCAGTAGAATCCATGAATATTTTGTCTTGTATTTCTGAATGCAGGGTCAATGCTAAAATACATGGGTATGGGTGGTTGGGGGGTGGGGTGGGGGGTATGGGGGCACCACCAAGCATTTGTGCTTAGGGCACCCAAATGGCTAGTGCCGGCCCTGCTGCTGCTGTTATTGATGCTGCTGCAGTTATTGATGCTGCTGCTGTTATTGATGCTGCTGCAGTTATTGATGCTGCTGCTGTTATTGATGCTGCTGCAGTTATTGATTCTGCTGCTGTTATTGATGCTGCTGCAGTTATTGATGCTGCTGCAGTTATTGATTCTGCTGCTGTTATTGATGCTGCTGCAGTTATTGATTCTGCTGCTGTTATTGATGCTGCTGCTGTTATTGATTCTGCTGCTGTTATTGATGCTGCTGCAGTTATTGATGCTGCTGCTGTTATTGATGCTGCTGCTGTTATTGATGCTGCTGCAGTTATTGATTCTGCTGCTGTTATTGATGCTGCTGCAGTTATTGATGCTGCTGCTGTTATTGATGCTGCTGCTGTTATTGTTGCTGCTGCTGTTATTGTTGCTGCTGCAGTTATTGATGCTGCTGCTGTTATTGATTGTGCTGCTGTTAATGATGCTGCTGCTGTTATTGTGGCTGCTGCTGTTATTGTTGCTGCTGCTGTTATTGATGCTGCTGCAGTTATTGATGCTGCTGCTGTTATTGATGCTGCTGCAGTTATTGATGCTGCTGCTGTTATTGTGGCTGCTGCAGTTATTGATGCTGCTGCAGTTATTGATGCTGCTGCTGTTATTGATGCTGCTGCAATTATTGTGGCTGCTGCTGTTATTGATGCTGCTGCAGTTATTGTGGCTGCTGATGTTGCTGATGCTGCTGCTGGTATTGTGGCTTCTGCTGTTATTGATGCTGCAGTTATTGATCCTGCTGCTGTTATTGATTCTGCTGCTGTTATTGATGCTGCTGCTGTTATTGATTCTGCTGCTGTTATTGATTCTGCTGCTGTTATTGATGCTGCTGCATTGATGATGCTGCTGTTATTGATGCTGCTGCTGTTATTGATGCTGCTGCTGTTATTGATGCTGCTGCAGTTATTGATGCTGCTGCAGTTATTGATGCTGCTACTGTTATTGTGGCTGCTGCAGTTATTGATGCTGCTGCAGTTATTGATGCTGCTGCTGTTATTGATGCAGCTGCGGTTATTGATGCTGCTGCTGTTATTGATGCTGCTGCAGTTATTGTGGCTGCTGATGTTGCTGATGTTGCTGCTGCTGTTATTGTGGCTTCTGCTGTTATTGATGCTGCTGCTGTTATTGATGCTCCTGCTGTTATTGTTGCTGCTGCAGTTATTGATGCTGCTGCTGTTATTGTGGCTGCTGATGTTGCTGATGCTGCTGCTGTTATTGTGGCTTCTGCTGTTATTGATGCTGCTGCAGTTATTGATGCTGCTGCAGTTATTGATGCTGCTGCTGTTATTGATGCTGCTGCAGTTATTGATGCTGCTGCTGTTATTGATGCTGCTGCTGTTATTGATTCTGCTGCTGTTATTGTGGCTGTTGCTGTTATTGATGCTGCTGCAGTTATTGATGCTGCTGCTGTTATTGATGCTGCTGTTGTTATTGATGCTGCTGCTGTTATTGTGGCTGCTGATGTTGCTGATGCTGCTGCAGTTATTGATGCTGCTGTTTGTTATTGATGCTGCTGCTGTTATTGATGCTGCTGCTGTTATTGATGCTGCTGCTGTTATTGATTCTGCTGCAGTTATTGTTGCTGCTGCTGTTATTGATTCTGCTGCAGTTATTGATGCTGCTGCTGTTATTGATTCTGCTGCTGTTATTGTGGCTGTTGCTGTTATTGATGCTGCTGCTGTTGCTGATGCTGCTGCAGTTATTGATGCTGCTGCAGTTATTGATTCTGCTGCTGTTATTGTGGCTGTTGCTGTTATTGATGCTGCTGCAGTTATTGATGCTGCTGCAGTTATTGATGCTGCTGCTGTTATTGTGGCTGCTGCAGTTATTGATGCTGCTCTTATTGATGCTGCTGCAGTTATTGATGCTGCTGCAGTTATTGATGCTGCTGCAGTTATTGATTCTTTTGCTGTTATTGATGCTGCTGCAGTTATTGATGCTGCTGCTGTTATTGATGCTGCTGCAGTTATTGATGCTGCTGCTGTTATTGTGGCTGCTGATGTTGCTGATTCTGCTGCAGTTATTGATGCTGCTGCAGTTATTGATTCAGCTGCAGTTATTGATGCTGCTGCAGCTATTGATGCTGCTGCAGTTATTGATGCTGCTGCAGTTATTGATGCTGCTGCAGTTATTGATGCTGCTGCTGTTATTTATGCTGCTGCTGTTATTGATGCTGCTGCTGTTATTGATGCTGCTGCAGTTATTGATGCTGCTGCAGTTATTGATGCTGCTGCAGTTATTGCATGCGGCTGTTATGCTATTGATGCTGCTGCAGTTATTGATGCTGCTGCAGTT